CATGAGACAAGTGCTCGGGCCTGGTGCACTGGGAAGACCCAGAGGGATCGGGTGGAGAGGGAGGTGGGAGGGGGGACTGGGATGGGGAATACATGTAAATCCATGGCTAATTCATTTCAATGTATGACAAAAACCACTGCAATGGTGTAAAGTAATTAGCCTCCAACTAATAAAAATAAATGGAAAAAAATAAAAAAAATAAAAAAATAAAGAAGAATGAATGCCAATCTTCCTCAAACTCCAAAAATTGAAGAGGAGGGCACACTTCCAAGCTCATTTTATGAGGTTAGTATCATCTGATACCAAAGCCAGATGAAGACTCTAAAGGAAAAGAAAATTACAAACTAGTAAACCTGATGAACATGATATAAAAATTCTCAACCAAACTCTAGCAAAACAGTTCAACAACACATTAAAAGAATCATGATCAAATGAAATTTATCCCTAGGATATAAAAACAGTTCAGCATACACAAAGTCATATGTATGACACATCACATTAACAAAAACGAATGGTAAAATCATATGATCATCTCAAAAGATGCAGAAAAAGCATTTGACAGAATTCAACATTCTTTCATGATAAAAATATTCAACTAATTAGGTATAGAAGTAATACATTCAACATGATAAAGGCTATCTATGACAAGTTACTGGTTAACATATTCATCAGTGAAAAGCTGAAAGTGTTTTCTCTAAGATCAGGAACTAAACAAATGTTTTATCCAAGATCTCACCACTTCTATTCGACCTGCTACTGAAAGCCCTAGCCAGAGCAGTTAAGCAAGAAAAAGAAGTAAAACCATCCCAGTTGAACAGTAAAAAGTAAAATTGTCTGTATGCATATACTATGAAATATAATCCAAGCTTTTTTAAGAAAGGAAGGAAATCCTATTTGCAACAACATGGATGAACCCTGAGGGTATTATGCTAAGTGAAATAAATCAGACAAAGAACAACAAATGCTATATGATCTCACTTACATGTGAAATCTTAAAAGGCTGAACTCCTAGAATCAGAGTAGAATGTTTGTTGCCAGGACTGGGAGGATGGGAAAAACGGAGAGATGCTTGTCACAGGGAACAACTTTCAATTATAAATAAGTTCTGAGACTCTAATGTACAGTATGCTGACTGTAGGTAACAATGCCATATTTTGCATACTTGAAATTTTCTGAGTAGGTCTTAAATCCTCTCACCACAAAAAAAAGAAAAAAAAAGGAAACTATCTGAGATGATGGATGTGTTAACTTTATTGTGGTAATCATCACACTACATATAATATATGAATATATAATTTTTAGTGTTGATATTCCACTTTAAGGGAAACCATTGGATTTCCATTAAGGGAAAGGGAAGACAGGCCAGTAGGGAAAATTATAGGAAAAAGTAAAACAGCAGACCTGCATTGTCATTATTAGAGATAAATATGAGGTCATTATTATTATAAAAAATAATGTATCTGCATGTATCACTCATTTTGCCTAATGTTTTATCTATCCATGCTTCTCCCTCCAGAAATAATTTGCCTTCACATGGTATATAATCCAGTTTCCCAAGCCGCTTTAGGAGATGCCAAATATTTAATGACACCCCACCTAGAAACAATAAATACATTTGAGTCACTCAGACTCCTGGGGAAAGGGATGCTGAAAATTTGATGAAAGGGATTAATAAATTATAACCAGGCTATTAAGATGTGAATCACTAAAGACTCCTGACACTCTTTTCCTTTTTCTAATTAGAATTAAGAAACAAATAAACAGACTCGCTTCCCTGTGCTCAGATATCCTCCCCTTCCTTTCCGAGGCCACTTGGTCGGTCTAGTGCGTGAGCTTTCGTTCAGATGTTAGCATGGCTTTAGCCAGCCTGCAGTACGGGTCTGGCCTGCTCAGAGGCAGTGCACGGCTGCTTTAAATCAGATGCTGTGACCACATTGGTGAGATGCCAGTCACACAGCTGGGAACAGGGAAGACCCAATTTGTAGGCCATGGGGTTTCTTCCCAATCAAAGTGCTCCTGCCAGTGGATCTCAGGGCCTGTGTCAAGCTGTCATAGACCCAGGCTTCCTAGAAGGAACCTTAAGATTGTCTCGTCCCACCCCTTTTTCTGTATAAGCAGAAATTTACAAAAGTTTGAAACTTCCCTCAAAGGAGAGGGAGCAGGTTGTCCAAAGTGACACAAGTTTTGATAGCAAGGCTCACAAAGAACCTGGGTCTCCTGAGCCCTGGGCTGCTGCCGCTCTCTCCATCTATTCCTACCTATTGCAGGGGCCCAGATCCAACAGCTCAGAACTCCCCCGTCCAGTCACTGGACCACCTCTCGGGCACAGCATCAGAGGACAGCTGTAGGACCTCACTTACATGTGGAATCTTAAAAGGCTGAACTCATCGAATCAGAAGACAGCTGAAGCCTCAGGTAATGGAAGATCATCCTTGCGCCCCACTGTGGGTGAAAGATCCATGGCTCCCCCCTCTGAACACCTCAGGTGGAGCCCTGACATCACACTCATTTGGTATGGGTGCCCACACTCTGTCACTCACCTTTGCATCCTAGAGCCTGGACCAGTGCCCAGGAAAGGAGTCCAGGGGGTAAAAATCATTTAAATGAAAGAATCATGAGAGTTTATCTGATTTCAAACAATTTCTTTTTTTTTTTTTTAGTGCACAGTGATGCAACGTAGATAGCATATTAAACAGCAGAGACATTACTTTACCAACAAAGGTCCACCTAGTCAAGGCTGTGGTTTTTCCAGTGGTCATGTATGGATGTGAGAGTTGGACTGTGAAGAAAGCTGAGTGCCAAAGAATTGATGCTTTTGAACTGTGGTGTTGGAGAAGACTCTTGAGAGTCCCTTGGACTGCAAGGAGATCCAACCAGTCCATCCTAAAGGAAATCAGTCCTGGGTGTTCATTGGATGGACTGTTGCTGAAGCTGAAACTCCAATATTTTGGCCACCTCATGTGAAGAGTTGACTCATTGGAAAAGATCCTGATGCTGGGAGGGATTGGGGGCAGGAGAAGGGGACGACAGAGGATGAGATGGTTGGATGGCATCACTGACTTGATGGGCATGGGTTTGGGTAAACTCCGGGAGTTGGTGATGGACAGGGAGGCCCGGCGTGCTGCGGTTCATGGGGTTGCAGAGTCGGACACGACTAAGCGACTGAACTGACTGATGCAATGTAAAATTGGTTAAGAATGTGCTTTTCCTCCAATATTTCATGGATTCTCCTTCAAGACAAGTTTTCAATAAACCTTTGCTCAGGTTTCCTATATTCTGGGTGCTAGGTCAAAGGAAAGTGAACACAGGAGCCTCCCCCCTCAGGGGCTCACAGTCCAGTGAAGGAGACCATGTCCAGACGGCTGTGATCTGGGGGCACGGTGCACCACGAGAGGGCGAGTCAGTGGGGTGTGCAGACCGGAGGCATGGCAGAAGGGACGCGGAGCTGAGACAATGCTGAGGCTTGAAGCATAAGTCGGTGATGACAGGAAAGGTGTTTCAGACAGAAGGAATAGCGTGTACAAAGCCACGGGATGAGACGGCATGAGACAGCGTGCCCAAGGATGTAGGGAAGAAGGAAACTGGCAAATCTTATACAAAAGAAATCCCATTTGTTCGTTTCTCTGCTTATTTGCTCTCCCAGAAGAGGTCATTGTTGAATAGAGGAAGAAGGGTTGATGTGGAAATTGAACAGCTCCAAACAATGAGTCTGTTTAGAGTAGCTGAGTTTATATTGTACGTGCCAGGCTCGGTTACACAGCTCCCACATGCCGGAGAATGTATATGACCCCTGGCCATTTAGAGCTGGGGAACCTGATGCTCAGCGGGTACGGCAGGACTGTTTGCTTCTTGCTCCGGTTTGTTGAGACCCTGGGATGTAGCGTGATCCACCGCCTCAGATACCGTACAAGGCTGCATGATCCCGACCCTGTCATAGAAGTTGCAGTCCCTACTTCTTCCCGGAACGTCCATGACGACTCCGGCCAGAGGATGCCGGAGTATCACAGGAGCTTCCGAAGCCCGGGAGAACACGGCTCCACCCGGTCTCCTGCTCAGGCGCCTCTCAGCAGACATTCCTCAGGGGCCTGGAGGGTGCCCCCGGGGTGTGGGGGAGCTGGCCATGCCCTGCCTCTCCTGGTTTCCCGTGCACTTGCTCCTCCTGTCCCATCCACTTGTGTCTTCAGACAGCTCCATTCACTCAGCACTTCCAGCTCCTCAGATTCACAGTCACTGCATCAAGCTTAGAGCCTCTCACCTCTTCCGAGGAGGCCCCATCCCCGTGCACACAGGGTCACTCCTTCCTCTGGGCACTCCCTGCCACTGGGGGCTCCCCTGCCCCTTGTCAGAGCTCAGTTTATTCTGCACCCACAGAAGACAGACTCATAGAAGGCGAGGACTCTTTGGACTCTTTTGCACCAGTTGAGTAAATAGTTGGCCTCTGGGGCATCAGTGGGCTGAATCCAGAGGAGATTGAAGCCCTGACTCTGTCCCTTCTTGGTGCCAGGAACAGTCTGCATTAGAAGCTAGGGAAACAGGGTCCTTGCCAGTCACCATGCAGGTGGAATGAGGCAGGCAGGCGCACCTGGGTGGACTTCCTGCTCTGATGCACTTCTGGACGTCCCATGGCCCATCCTCTCCTCCAGCCCAGCAAGGAGCCAGGAGACGATAATGGAAGGTGACCAGTGCTCTTGCTGAGCCCCACTGGCCTGCTTGGACCGATGCATGTATGTCCCCGGTGCATCCTGCCTAAAGCATTCGTCATTTCTAGAAAGTGGAAAGAACTGCCCCCTATTTCCTGTGTATGTATTTTCTCCCTCCTAATTATATTCCTTTGGCCCTTTTAATGATAAATTTTGCACGAGAGTGGTATAAAACATGTATTCATATGTCCTTCTTGCATCCTACTGAAGCTTCTAAATAGGTAGATTTCCTCTAAGAAATATTTTTCTTTTCTTAAATAATTTTTCTATTTCTTTGTTTTTGAAGGTTGTGGAGGGGGGAGACACGCCATGCAGCATGTGGGATCTTCCTCTCCCAACCAGGGATGAATTCCGTGCTCCCTACAGCAGAAACTCAGAGTCTTAACCACTGGACTGCCAGGTAAGTCGCTCAGGAAACATTTCTAATGGAGGAATGCTCAGTATTAGACCCTTTCAGTGCTAATTGGCTCATTCTGTCATCACTGAATTTGAAAGTCAGCTCCTCCAGGTACTATCTGATTTTGAACCAGTGACACCCTGAGTCAGTTTTCTCATCTGTAAAATGGGAGTAATGACACCTTTTCCATGTTGTGTTCAGTCGCTCAGTCGAGTCCGACTCTGTGACCCCATGGACTGCAGCACACCAGGCTTCCCTGTCCTTCACCATCTCCTGGAGCTTGCTCAAACTCACGTCCATTGAGTCGGTGATGCCATCCAACCGTCTCATCCTCTGTCATCCCCTTCTCCTCCTGCCTTCAGTCTTTCCCAGCCTCAGTGTCTTTTCCAATGAGTTGGCTCTTCCCATCAGGTGGCCAAATTATTGGAGCTTCAGCTTCAGCATCAGTCCTTCCAATGAATATCCGGGGTTGATTTCCCTTAGGTTTGATTGGTTTGATTTCCTTGCTGTCTCAAGAGTCTTCTCCACACCACAGTTCGAAGGCACCAATTCTTTGGCATTCAACCTTTTTTATTGTCCAGCTCTCACATCCATACATGACTACTGGGAAAACCATAGCTTTGACTATACAGACCTTTGTAGGCAAAGTAATGTCTCTGCTTTTTAACATGCTGTCTAGATTTGTCAATGCTTTTCTTCTAAGGAGCAAGTGTTCTATAGCGTGGTTGTAAACTTGAGAAATAATTATAAATTGCACTCAATAAATCACTGTCCTACTGTGTTTAGGAAAGGTTTAACGTGTAATCTACACAGAGACTTCCTTCTACACTAGCTTTCTAGTCCTCTGGAGAAAAATGGTTCAAACCCCACATATTCCAGAAATAAGTCAAGTAAACAAATATGAAAAGTGCCTATTATATCGGAAACTGGACTTCTGTATTTGTAAGTATTTGTTGACACGTGCTACGTGACAAACACATGGAAAAACACCAGTTTGCGGCGCTGTGGGCCTAAGCACCTTGTTTGTCAGTGAGTGACAGTGCTATAAAGTGAACATTTATTTTTTAAAAATATTTACTTATTTGGCTGCTCCAGGTCTTAGCTGCAGCAAGGGAGATCTTTGATCTGCATTGTGGCATGTGGGATCTTTGCTGTGGCGTGCAAACTCTTAGCTGCAGCATGCAGGATCTAGTTCCCTGACCAGGAATGGAACCTGGGCCCCCCGCATTGGGAGTGCACTGGACCACCTATGACTGCTGGCCCCTGGAGACCCTTGGACTTTTCTTTTTAATCTTAGTAAAACAGACAGGGAGGCCTTGCGTGCAGCGATTCACAGGGTCGCAAAGAGTCGGACACGACTGAGCGACTGAACTGAACTGAACTGAATTGAAATTAGTTTCACTGGAAAGATTGGGCAGCAAGCCACAGTGAGTTGTGATGTAAACTTGCTGTGACTTACACATCCCCTCCATCCTCTACACTACTATGTCCACATCAAATCTCCAAATTCAAATATCAGATAGTGGTTTCCAGGCCAAGATATCAGGCAGAGCTCGTATCTCCCAAGTCTCAACCACCACGAGGCCAGAAATGATAATCATTTAAGAATGTTAACTGAACGCTATAATTACAGTCAGTGCATAATAGGCATTTTGCACTGATATTGTGCACAGCCAAGAAAATATTTACTTGGCTAACTCAAGTCCGTGACCAAGTCTATTTTTTTTTTATAACAGAAATAATGCTTTAATTTGTCACCACCAAACACACCAGAGTGAAGTCTCTTTGATATTTCAAGCATAATCAAGATATCTCTTAGGCTTTTGCCTCTTATGTAAGTCACATGCTTCCTTTCTTTGTAGGTTCTATACCTAAGTCTTATGTGGATTCTTTTGTATTCCTTACTGGCTTTTAATGAGATTAGTTCTTTACTGAAGTTTTGTTTGGGGGCAAGGCAGGAAAAGGAAATGGCAACCCACTCCAGAACTCTTGCCTAGAAAATCCCATGGACGGAGGAGCCTGGTGTCCATGGGGTGGCAAAGAGTCGGAGGCGACTGAGCGACTTTACTTTCAAGGCAGGAGAGGTTGGCTGCGGAGGAGACGGGGGCATGAAACATTGGTTCCGCTTTGTTGTTTCAATGTCCCTTTCATCAAATTCTCCATTTCCCTTGCATGCAGATGCTTATTTTCCTTCATATTTTTAGCCAACACTGTTCACAGCAAAGCCTTTTAAATCACAGGCTCTCTGGCAAATAGCAAAGACTGCCTCCTCAGCCTCCTTCCAGCCATCCTACCTTGGGCTTGACCAGCAGTTGGCCTCAGGTGGTAGAAATGGTAGACCCATATGATTTGCCTTCAGCACCAACTTTCCAGTCATCTCCAGGGAGGCACTGTTCCTCTCCAGGGTCACTGCTATTCTCTGTGACCCATGCAGCCCTGGACCAGGCCATTCCCACCAAAGGCTCCTTTTGGGGCGGGGATTCTCATATTTAGGAAGTTTCTCTCTTGCTCAAGCCCTGAGGCAGTCTGCGTGCCACTCTTACTTCCCTCCAGATTTCACAGTACTTGGTAAGCATGCTTCCTAGTTTGTGGCCTTTTCCTCTTTGACTGAAGATGAAGGGCTCTCCCCGCCTCTTTTTAAACAATCCGTTGTTTTTGGTGAGTCTGTAAGGAGAGCGAGAACTGAAAATGCCCTTGTGTTACAGTCTCTGCGCAGAGTCCTCACTGCCTTTTAAACCCACTGCTTGGGTTTTAAGACCCAAGCCCTTCACTCATTTTTTATCCTTTTTATTGAGTGTACTTCTGCAACTTGCTTCAAGGCTCGCTTTGGAATAAGGTGACGGTGCATGTACATACCTTTTTGACACGCCACATTCATCCATTTGCCTGTCCCTAAACTTTGATTTCTGGTTTTTTTTCTTCTTCTTCTTCTTTTGGAAGCCTTTTCATTCTTTATTTCCTTTTCTGTCATTTCTCTCATCCGATCTGGAAACTCTCCTATTCTCTAAAAAAGCTCAAAGTGATATTCTTTAGGGCCTCTCTTCTCCTCTAGCCAGAGGAGCAAACTGCACTTGTCAGAGACGTAATTGGTTCTCTCCCTTCACAGCCAAACCATGTGCCCTGAGTCTCTAAAGATCGGTTCCCTCATTGTCCGTGCATCCTGACTCTCCACACAAACCGCCAGTGACGTGGCTCCACTCAGCTCTCAACCACAGCCATGGAAACTGCCTCTTTCTGGTCTCGATTGAAAGGGCTTCTGGGAGAACGGCTGGTAGGCACCCCACACCGTTCCCCTTCTCTATAGACCTGCTGCACATTACAGAAACGAGCCCCTCGTCACCTGAAGGGCCCCTCATTTCTTCCACCCACATCCCTGTGGGGCTGTTCAGCAATGTAAGCATGGCATCGCAGCATCCTGCTCACCAGAGTTCCCACCTGCTTCCCGCACCTGTTTTCTTAGGTTCCCGATCCAAGGAGAAAGAAAAGATGAGTCAACCTTGCATGTATGTTTATCCTGCTGGTGGGATGTCATTAAATATGGAAAATCATGCAAATAGAGTTCCCAAAAAAATGGATCTCTGGATACTAAATTCCCCCTGGATTTACTGTGTTCACAGCTGGGAAACCTGACTCCTCAAAAAAGACACTTTCAAGATCCAGAATAAAGGAGAGAGGATAAAGCCATGACCTCTCAGTGGTGTGAACAGAGCCGCAGATGTGAGAGCCTGGTGTGGAGGCAATAACTTCTGCTGAGACTGCCATTTACCAAGACCTCCTATTCGCAGCAATTTAAGAGGAGCCATTCAGTCCTCCCAGTAATCCTGCCGACGATCACCTCCATCTTATCCATACGCATGAGGATTCTGGTAAAGAATGGAAGGAACCATATTTTTTTTTAAAGGGGTGATTGCACCATTAATGATTATTCATTAAATCAAAAACATTTTCACATTTGCCTTTGAATAAGTCTGACAGGAAGCTACCCTGAGTTCGAACCTTTAAGCAATTCGAGGTTAGAGATCAATCTCTCCTGAAGCCCTTTTGAGTAAGAGAATAAAGTCTGTGTCTCTCCCCGGCCAACACACCTTCTTCCCAATGTCAGTCATTGATACAAAAGGTCCCCTACACAAGTTACAATATCTAAACTTATCATGGCAGCTCCATTTTTGCCACTGCAACTATAAATATGATTAAATAGTACTTTCCAACTATATCAAAAGATCTTAAGGTTTTTGAACCAGCAAGAATCTCAGAGACTGATATCCCTGCATTTCAGAGAGATGACAACTGAAGCCTAAGCAGGCAACGTGCTCAACTAAGTTTCTTTTTTTGAACTATGTAAAGACAAAAAGTTAGTATTGTAAGAAAAAAAATATTTTCTCCCTGATGTTTTCTCTTTTTTAAAAATTAATTTATTTTAATTGGCAGCTAATTACAATATTGTGGTGGTTTTTACACCCACATCCCTGTGGGGCTGTTCAGCAATGTAAGCATGGCATCGCAGCATCCTGCTCACCAGAGTTCCCACCTGCTTCCCGCACCTGTTTTCTTAGGTTCCCGATCCAAGGAGAAAGAAAAGATGAGTCAACCTTGCATGTATGTTTATCCTGCTGGTGGGATGTCATTAAATATGGAAAATCATGCAAATAGAGTTCCCAAAAAAATGGATCTCTGGATACTAAATTCCCCCTGGATTTACTGTGTTCACAGCTGGGAAACCTGACTCCTCAAAAAAGACACTTTCAAGATCCAGAATAAAGGAGAGAGGATAAAGCCATGACCTCTCAGTGGTGTGAACAGAGCCGCAGATGTGAGAGCCTGGTGTGGAGGCAATAACTTCTGCTGAGACTGCCATTTACCAAGACCTCCTATTCGCAGCAATTTAAGAGGAGCCATTCAGTCCTCCCAGTAATCCTGCCGACGATCACCTCCATCTTATCCATACGCATGAGGATTCTGGTAAAGAATGGAAGGAACCATATTTTTTTTTAAAGGGGTGATTGCACCATTAATGATTATTCATTAAATCAAAAACATTTTCACATTTGCCTTTGAATAAGTCTGACAGGAAGCTACCCTGAGTTCGAACCTTTAAGCAATTCGAGGTTAGAGATCAATCTCTCCTGAAGCCCTTTTGAGTAAGAGAATAAAGTCTGTGTCTCTCCCAGGCCAACACACCTTCTTCCCATTGTCAGTCATTGATACAAAAGGTCCCCTACACAAGTTACAATATCTAAACTTATCATGGCAGCTCCATTTTTGCCACTGCAACTATAAATATGATTAAATAGTACTTTCCAACTATATCAAAAGATCTTAAGGTTTTTGAACCAGCAAGAATCTCAGAGACTGATATCCCTGCATTTCAGAGAGATGACAACTGAAGCCTAAGCAGGCAACGTGCTCAACTAAGTTTCTTTTTTTGAACTATGTAAAGACAAAAAGTTAGTATTGTAAGAAAAAAAATATTTTCTCCCTGATGTTTTCTCTTTTTTAAAAATTAATTTATTTTAATTGGCAGCTAATTACAATATTGTGGTGGTTTTTTGCCATACATTGAACTATGTAAAGACAAAAAGTTAGTATTATAAGAAAAAAAATTTTCTCCCTGATGTTTTCATAACTCCCTCTAGTATTGAGAAAAGTGAAAACAGTACATGAATGCAGCCCCAGTACAGATCCCCACAGCCTGAAGGGAGTAAGGAGAAGAGGGAGCGCTCTGAGAGAGCTGAGGCTCTGAAAGTGCAGAAGGCTCTGAGCGCTAGTGTCGGAAAGTGTCAGGGAAAAGCGGAGACACTGCACACTCTAGGGATGCAGGGAAGGCACATTTGTTTATTCTGCAGATTAAGGTAATACCGTTGCATGGTCCCATCCACCAAAAGCAAGAGATCCAGTATCTTATAATAATGGCTCGCTCCCCTTCCCCAAACTGTATGAAACTCCAGGAGATTACACATTTTGAAACTTGTTGGGTAGGGAAGACCTCCTGTGTCTCTCTTGCTTGGACCCTGGAACTAGCCATCCATTCAGAGCCCCCACCATCTATCCAGTGTCCTCCCATCTATCCAGTGTCCCCCCATCTATCCAGTGTCCCCACCATCTATCCAGTGTCCCCCCATCTATCCAGTGTCCCCACCATCTATCCAGTGTCCCCCCATCTATCCAGTGTCCCCCCCATCTATCCAGTGTCCCCCCATCTATCCAGTGTCCCCCCATCTATCCAGTGTCCCCACCATCTGTGTATTCTGGTCTAATGCTGCTACTCTTCCATGCAGAAAAGTCTTCCAGGCCAAAACAGACCTTGAAAACGAGGTCATGACTTTCATGTACCTTCCAATGCCCCATACCCCTAGAGGTGCAATGCCAGAGCTGGTTCCAGCATCTCCCCACTGTGAAATCTGCAGCCATCTTCGCAGGAACTCACCAGGGTTCAGGCTGCTTACTTCTTCAACCTCACTAAACTATGTGAACATTCCACTGTTTTCTTCCACAGATGTATTTATGGGTTCATCAGAGAAGGCCCAGGCCTCGGAAGAACAAAGCCCAAAGCAACCCAAGTGAAATAGTTTTATTTGGTAGGTTCAGGGTCTTAAGGAGATATTTACAGTGTGCCTGGTAGACGCCAGGTGTTAGTCGTCAGTTCTTCAGCCCGCACCACATGCTTTGCCGTAGAGAAGCTTCAGCAGCTTAGCCAAGGTCGCCCAGCAAGGGCGGAGACTCAGATTCAAATAGGGGTCCTCAGTGTCTGGAGTCGGAGACAGCACATTCCGCTTTACCCTTGCGAACTTTTGAGACCCACAGAATCACAGAGTTGAGACGGCAGGCCTCAGGTAGACCACCTCCCCTGCCGGTATTTCAGCCCCCTCGCTGTGCCTGCGAGGGGTGGGCGCACTCACCCCTGGACGGGACTCCGTGGCTCGGGCTAAAGGCTGCCTCCCTCCAGTTTTTCCTGGACAGGCTGGCTCTGGCCTTCTTCCTCTCGACAGCATCTCAGAGGTCAAATGAAAGCGCTCCTGTCATCTTTCCATCACTCTTTCTCAACCTAGTCATCCCCAGTTTCTTCTACTTTTTCATCTATGACTGATTTCAACCATCTGCCTTTTATTTCTGGGGTGAAGCTGGATCCTGAGAGGGTGTGAAAGAAGCATCAGCTATTGTCAGTGACCTTACTGGGCATTTGTGTTGAGTGAATCCTCAGCCCATTCTTTGGGAGGCTCTACCAGGTGCTAGAAGCTTTCAAACACAACTCATCCTTGAAAACCTCGCATGGTGGGTAATGAGATGTTTACCAGTAATTACCTCAGAGCAAAGGTTAAGCACTTTGGAATACTGAAGACATTTTAAAAGATTATTTGCAAAATTTGCAAGAGGGAAAAATATGAGAACATCTGTTCTGTAAAATCACCGTAAAATATTCATGTACAAGTAACTTAAAAATACTGAGCAGTAAATCTCTTTGGAGTTAACTGGGTATGTGAGTTCAGAAAATCTCTGCTGGGAAGAGAATTTTCCCTCAGAGTCCCTTCCTAACTCTTTTTATCTTACAATTTTCTTTATAATACTACACCTTTCCTGGGGGATCATTGCCATGATATTTAAATAGGCGTGTTTTTTTTTTTAATAAGGAATTTTAAAATAGCTCTTTCTTGGCAAACCAGAGTAGCTCTTTTGGAACTGTTCTAGTCTTTGGGATAAACACTATGTAAAGCGGTGTTTGTGCTGTGAACCCGGAGATTCACCTGAAGATTCACCCCACGGTGCCCTCCACAGAGCAGAGGTGTGTTTATGAATTTCATTCTAGCCTCAAATATAGAAAGGCCCTGGGAAGGCCCCTGGTACTTGGACATTTTGCATCCTTTTCTAATGTCTATGTGACTCTCCATTTGAGGACTCTTGTAGGAGTCAGGCAATCTTGACATGATCTTGGTGACTTTAGGGTAAGGTCAAGATAGAATTCTCTTAGATCATAAAAGATCTCCAGGCCTCTTTTATATGCAGTTCTTGTTGGCAGAGCTTGGATTGGATTCTACTGAAAGAAAACAACTACAGACCTGACCCACTTTATAAAATTTTTGATGCCTAAATAAGATTGCCAAATTTAGAAAAAAATAAATAAATAATGGCCAGATAAATTTCAGATAAACAACAATTTTTAGTGTGTCCTGAAGACTTATTTCATATGGCAACACCATACCCAAATTCAGAGTCAACCGCCCTATGTTAATTTTCCTTAATGGACTTTAGTGATAACTCTATCATGGAATAGAATAAAAATTGCATCTATTTTTTTAAATCTCTATGAAAGACGTAACAAATCCTTTCTTGACAAAAGAAATATGTGCCAATTGAGGCATATGGCTAGTCTCACCCAATGTATGTGCCTTGTACAGAATTGGAATCTGGGCCTCCACTCACTTCTTAAGAGCTGATAATTAGGAGAAACTACAAATGAGCTCAAAACCAAAAAAAAAGGATAAAGGGGGAAGGAAATGATCTGCACCTGAGGAAATGTGATGAGGCAAAGGGTCTCCATAGTGTTGCTTTCTCCTGCATCTAGCAGTGTGCAAAACACAATAAACACTGTAAAATAATGTATGAATGAATAAATGAATGAATAAAAGTCATTCTAAAGCCTCTTTCCCAAGCCTCTGCTATAAGGCATCTAGGGGCCTTTCAGATCTCAGTGTTGTGTTAAGCTCTAAAAAGATGAGACTAATTAGGCTTTAAAACATGTGGCTGTGTGAGTGAATGAGTTTTGACAAGAAAAAAATTTCTCTTCTTTAAATAGGACTCTGCTTCTTACCTGAGATGGAGTAGATAAAACAGGCTGAAGTCTGAGAAGCCATGTAACAGTTTCGCAGTAGAGGCATTCGTAAGGAAACATTCTCAAAAACAATGGACATGACCAATACTCCAACCGTGCCCCATAATTTTTTTTTTTAATTAAAG